TGATGCAAGAGTGAGAGGTCCCGGTCTCAAGTCCGTTCTCTCTCCTGCTGCCAGCCAGTCGGCGTCTTCAAACGGGGACAACATCCATATTCAATAATGACATATGGTGTGACCAGGTACACTGCCTAAGAAGCCCTGAAGTTGTAGAAGCCATCTCAATGACCAAGAAACCTTGAAGTTGCCGATGGGGGCTATCTCAATGTTCATCGACAAACCACATACACGCGTCCTACCCTAGTCATTGTCTGTGCAAAAATATGCCCTACTCAGTGATATTGTCTGTGCAGTAATCGGTGTCCCTCATTCTTTCTGTCAGGCCAAAGTTTTGCCAAACTCCATGTATTTCGTTCCAAACTCAGCCCAAATGCTGACTGTCCACGTGAATAAGCAGCATGCCGAAGCAACATAACGAAGCAACAGAGGGCTCAAAGTGTGTTAAAGCAGTGTAAAGAGCACTGGAGCCAGTCTGTCTTGGTCTTGTGCGCAACCTATACTGGCAAAGGAAATTGGTGTGGTGATGTGTGGCTAAGCCGACATAGAAGAAGAACACTACTCACAAAGGTAGAAAACATATTCCAAGAGTCTACAATTAAAAAAATTGTCATGCAAAGATCTGGCCCAGCAAAGACTTGATGAATCTGGCCTATCGCTCTGACCAAATGCACTTAATGCACTAATATACTTCTACAACCAGGTACATAACACAGATTAGGTCCGACAAATAAGACAATCTTAAAGGAAAAATTAACGGCAATCCTTACTCAGCGATGATGTACTACATGCAGGAAGAAGCAAAAAGGATCCCTCAAACTATCCATCCCACGAATAGGGCGAAGTATGAGCACCAAGATTCAAATATCCCATGGTGCTACTATCTGCAAGAAGAGAGGAAATTGTCTTTCGGTGTGCTTCTAATTAGTGAATCTAGCGTATGAATAGGGCCAAGTACAAAGCACAAGAACTATGAAACACCCTCATCGGCGGCCAAGCGCAGCCGAATCCGCGGACGCGGCCAGCACACCGACCCCACGGACGCGTCCGCGCGGCCGCGCAACTTTGCGGCCGCGTTTCGGGCAGTGGGGAGCGGGGTTGGGGATTCGGGAAGCGCCATGGGGTGGCGCAACCCCATCCCTACCCCCTCAAAAAAAAAAAACATTTTTTTGGGTGGGGGCCTTGGGGGGGGGTTGGCTGTGACTGATGACAATTGAAAAAAAAAAACAAAAAAAAAACGCGAGCTTTTTTTTCTTTTTTCCGTTGATTTATTGATTGGTTGTTTGATTGATTGATTGATTGATTGGTGGGGGCGGGGTCGCCCCACCCCCCCTTCATTGATTGGCTGATTGATTGATTGATTGATTGATTGATTGATTGATTGATTGATTGATTGATTGATTCGATTTTTTTTATTTTATTTTTTTATTTTTTTGATTGATTGATTGATTCATTCATTTGATTTTGCCTTTTTTTTTTTTTTTT